CGGAGATGTCATCCCTGGGAAGCAGCGTGGCACAACTGGGGGAGTCTCGAGTCCCCCAGTGGTTTGCACTGGCAGGGCCTTAGGGGACCTTAAAGAGACCACCTTAGATCCACACCCTGCCAGGGGCAGGGGACACCTTTTGCTAGACCAGGTTGTTCCAAGCCCTGCTGTCCTGGCCACAGAAAGTGACACCTGATACTGAAGGGCCACAAGATTCCTTTATCCAGTCCTGCATCTCTTACAGAAAAATTGATAAACAACAAAATTGTGCTGTTCAAATTTTGAAGTGAAACTGTGCAGAAAATGATTAGAAGTATTTCATCTTTTGCTTCTGTAATTGAAAGCATCCCATGAGTCCTTACGTTCTCAGGTTACCGCTGCTTTATTACACTGATGTAAAATACTGCAATTCATTTTTACTGGCAATGTAGGAAATTGCAAAAATCAAGGTGCAGTAACCACTCTTACATTCTTTAGTATCTGCCAACTTCAGATTCATCTCGCTATTTTTCTTCTTCCATCTTGGTTGATCACTGCTGTATGTACACGATGCTTGCGCTGTGCAAGCGTCTCAGCTAGTTCTGATTCCAGCCCTCCACAGCTTCAGGAAAAACTCTTCCTATGCAGGAAATACAAATAAACAGAGAGAACTCTTTAGTTTGGGGTTTGTTTGGTTGGTTTTTTTTAGATTGCTGCATGTTTTTCATAATCACATGACTTATTTATGTATCTTTATCAAGGAGACTCCTTCTGTGTTCATTTGTTTACTGAAGTGGGATGAGCAGGGCAGAAGCACTTCTGAATAGTTTGTGGAAAACAGGAAGAGGAGGGGAAAAGAATGAGCTTTGGTGGTTTAGGGCAGGGACCACTGACACGTGACTGAACGTGGTCTGGCTTTAGCCCAGTAAATGTTGTGCATACAGAATTCCAAAGAGGAATAAAAGGATGCATTAATGCTCCATGAGGCCGCTCTAGTGCAGGGTCCAGAGCAGGGAAAGTGTTGCTGAGGCAGAACCAAGCCCATCCCTCAGCTATGGGGGGTTCTACTTTGTTCTCTCTCCATAGCTCTGCCCTCTGTCCCTGCAGTCTGAGAGCTGTGTTCTAAAAAAGAAAAAGAAAGGAAAACCAGAAAAAGGCCACAGTTGGCAGTGCTGCCCATGGCTGCTGCCAGCCTCCTCCTGCTTCCCCTGCGGGTCTCGGCAGCGGGCTGGCTGCTCACACCACACTCTCCAGAGCAGTAGGAAGGGGAACAAAACTTGACAAAAAGCTCCTTAGGGAAGAGACAAATATGTATCTACCAAAAGTCACCTAGCACCATGCTGGCTCCAGAGTTACCCAGCAAATGTACAGCCTGAGAGGGATGATTGGCTCTGTGTGAAACCTCTGTGAACGGAGGCTCAGCAGCAGCACTGCAAAATGACTCTTGGTGCCTCTTGGTAAACTTGAAACCAGATAAACCGCAGACAGCAGTTTTTTCCATTCTTCTGAGGAATTCAATTTGCATATGCAGTTGTGTCAGGGCAGTTTGCATAACTTCTGAGGATGAGGTCCTTGTGTAAGCAGTTAAAATGTTCTCCACAGAAAAAGAGGCACCATTACCTCTCCAAGTTTAAAATGTTTCTAGAAATTAAACCCAGAATGTCTTTGATGTCAAAGAGCATATTGGTTAAAAGAACATTTTGTGGACTTGTTTATAAGTTCCAGTAAATTAAAATAAGGGATTTTATTTGTTGTCATAGGTGAATACAAGTCACTTATATGTGTTACCATTGACTTAAATGCCGTATGCATTTCTGAGGACGTGCTAGCGGACGGAGGGCTGAAATAAGATTCAAATGTCACATGTTAAATTTTTTAAACTTCTGCCATTGATCTACAAATATCCTACATCATTAACATAAAAAGTGTGGCAGATCTAATGCTGGTAAGTGAAACAGTTTCTCCAAGAAATGCAAATGGGAAAAGATAAGGACCCTTTCCAGGCTGGTTTTAGGGGCAGCTCCTGGCAGAGCTCTGAGAGCAGCACGCTGACACTGTGCTGTGTGACAGTGGGCACAGGGTGGCAGTGCCAGGGTGTCCCTGTGCTCCAGCACACAGTGTGAGCTGGAGAGAGGAGGGAGGGTTTTGTCCAGGTCAGTGGGAGGGAACACTGGTAGGGATGGAGAATGAGCCAGAACAGGACCCAGCAGTAAGTAGTGACAGACCAGATGTCAAAAAATATACCTGAAATGCAAGAAATGATACCCAGCTGGGACATGCTTTTCCTCTGATACATGTTCCCTATCATAGATTTACAAAGAACTGAGACACAGTTGTTGAGGTGTCCCTGCTCCTTTCTTCCCAAGGCACTGCCCAAGGGCCCACTGGCACCAGGCTGCCTTCAGAGTCCAGCAGATGACACTAAATTTACCTGGTTGCTTCATTTCATTCAGTCGGGAGAGCAACACTAACCAAACACAGCCTGTGAAGCACAACTCTGCAACAGAGCTCATCTGTGGACCCTAACCCCAGGCCATGCCAATGCTCCACGTGCTTTATTGCTCCAAATCAATTCTGGATTCCAAGTCCTGACCTTATCTCCTTGGGGAGCTCTATGAAGTGACCATCATGAGAAAGCAGCTGTAGTGCTGAGTTCTGGAAAGCCAGCACACCCACTCTGACTGTTTCAGGGCAGCTCTCACAGTAGCACCGACTGGACGTGGCAGGAATGTGCTGAGCATCGTCTCACACATTTTAACTGCTGTGGGTTTGCTTCATTGGAGCTCTTCTTACACAGCTAATGAAAATATAAACTGATAAGACAATAACATAATAAATTATTGCAAGTCAGATTTAGGCAAAAACTATCTCAGTCATGAACCATCCATCAGTCATGGGGAGTCCTGCAGTGAGACAACGCTGGAGAACAACTCTGTTGAAGCAGTGACAGAAAACACTGCCAGACTCTGAAGATGTAGGACACAGGTTTTTTTTGTTTGCATACAGATCCTTGAGAACTTGAAATCATAGTGGGTATTAAACACAACAACAAAAAAATGTAATTTTTAAATGGGGGAAACAGCATTGGCTTAATAGCAGTGAGGTCCTTGCAGCATTCCTTGCAGGTTAAACCACTAGAACATACCTGAATACTAGTTATGTCCTCTCATATAATAAGTACCCTCCAACTAAAAGCAAATTGGCTGTGCTTCATTACCTTTTACTAGTTTTCTGCTCTTATGGAAGAACAAACAGTACATAATAATGAGTAATGAATACTTCAGAGCTGAAACCTCCCAGCTGCCAGAGGTTAAAGATCATACATGAGACCACATAAATAATGAATTTGCATCCAGAGCAGCACAATGTATTTACCAAGTTGGGCATTATTTTCAATTCTGGATATGCAAAAATAGCATAAAGGAAGCCAGGATCAGGAGTTATTCTGGGGGATGTGGGTAACTAAGCAAAACGCTGCAGCATAACTGAGTATGGATACAGAACTGGTGAAAAGTACAAGCCTGGCCTCTCATTGCTCCAGATGTTTGCCTGCTTGGTCAGGGGGTGGGCAGGGTGGGTCAGGCTGTGCTGGAACTGGGGCAGCAGCCAGGACAGGACACAGCCCCACGCTGCTGGCCAGGCCTCTCGGGGAGGGCAGTGTGGGCACAGGGGCCAGGGCACCGGGGTTACCCCTCAACACAGGCAAAGCAGAACAGGAGCTTGAGCCTTGATGTTGTGCAAATAAGGATTGCTTAAAAAAAATAGCAAAATATGGGTTTTAGTGTGAGTTGCGAACTACAATTTAGCATGTGTGGTCCTAAAGCACTTCAAGTGTTTGCAATTTCTCTACTTGAAGAGAAGAAGCTTCTCCTGGGGTCAGGCACCCAGAACCTTGCAGCACTCAGCTGCACACAGCCAGCAGCCCATACCCCTACCTTGTCACAGGCCATGGAGTGAAACCAGCAGCAAGGAGCCCAAAGAGCCCCCACCTGAGGAAAACAGCCTCTGGAAAAGGGCCTCAGCTTGGAAGGGCTGCAAAGCTTTTGTCACCCCCTCTAGTTAAAGAAACAGCATTAAGTCGACTAAAATAATTAAACAACCTTTGAGTGGCTGGGTGGGGTTTTGCTGTGTTCTGAGGTTTGGGATTTTTTTGTTTGGTTGGTTTGGGCCTTTTTTGTTTGTTTTTCTTCCTTCTCTCCAAAGGGTAACACACGAAGTTCCCACACAGTTCTACCAAGATGACCTTTAGCTATTAGGTAAACTTTTAACTTCTGTATTACTACAAATAAAGGCTCAAAATACTCTCAAATGCATCAGGCAAAATGGAAAATTGTGTTAGGGGGAAGAAGGTCTCTGGCTCCAAGTTTACATCTAAAATGACCATGTGCCACATATGCAACACAAAAAGTTTGTTACTAAAATCAGTGCAGATTTTCAATAGCTCCAGCCCCTGAGCTCCTCCTGCCCCAAACACGAGGCCCAGTGCAGATGGAGAAAGGGCAAGGGATGGGGAAGGAGGGAGTAAAAAGGAAAAAGAGTCCTAAGTAAATAAATGAGCCAATAAAAGTCCTCTCCCTGTGCTCCTATACCCTTTGCTTGCAAACAGCTTCCTTCATGTTCTTGGAGCTCGTTCCCCCATATTTTTTCCTTACACTGACATGGAGGCCGCAAACCAGGGCATGGGCACTTGGTCAAGTGGGATGAAATTCCCATGGGCATATTCTGTGAATATCCTCATTTGCATGGCAGCTAGTTCACCAAACCATCCCTCTGCTTGTTTAGCACTAACAGCTAGATCATCAATCATCCCATTTCGTGATAAGAACTGAAGTTTTCCCTGTCATACATTAAACACTCCAAAACACTGTTCTCAGGCTGTTTCCACTCTCCCCCAACAATCCCTTTCCCTCCTTGTTTCCAGTGTAGGTTTTTGGGATAAGAGAATTTTTACTGGAAGGACAACTGGAGACCAAATCAACTCTTTCAGAGCCGAGTTCCCAGTGCCTGTCTGCAGTTAGGAGATGGGGCACAGTCCCCAGCAGCAGGACTTCACTGATCCTGCCTCCCTGTAAGGTGGCTTTTCCACCATTCGATGCAGTTGCCATTATCAGGGCCACAGTGTGACAAACCTGCTCACAAGCCTTTTCTCTTCTGATACCACCAGACTGTCTCTGACTGCAAATACAATTTTCTGCTTTGAACATTAGAAATCAGAGCCAACTCTGAAAACCCTCTGGAATCCCCGAGGGGGATCTGCAGCATCTTTCTCCCACAGTGTTTGCTTCTTCTCACGCTAGAGCAGGGGTTTTGCTGCTGAGGTGGCACCGTGGGGCACTGAGGGTGACACGGCACAGGGGGCACGGTCCTGGCCTGGCAGCCCCGAGGGCAGGATGGATGTTCCAGGGAGCTGGGTGTGTTTCCTGCAGGCTGCAGCTGCTGCATGTTCTGGTCCCAGAGCATCCCCTCAGCGAGGCCCAGGACACCTCCCAGAGCCGCTTGCTTTAAAGCAAATTGCTAATATCCCTGTTGGAAGAAATCAGCATTAATGATCTGATGGAAGTGCTCAGTGATCATCAAACACCTGGGTGGGAGTATTTACTATTTCCCCGTATCCAGTAACACTGCCAGCAGCTCTCCTCAGAATGTTTCACCAGGCAGGTCAGTACTAAGATGTTGCAGTGACCGGGAAGCCGAGGTACAGAGGAAGTGACTGTTGGAAATGACTCAGGAACCCAGGCAGGACATTCCCTTCTTTCTGCAGGGGTGTCCAGTGTGGGTTGCCAGTGGTGGATGGATGGATGGATTGATGGATGGATGATGGATGGGTGGATGGATGGATGATGGATGGATGGATGATGGATGGATGGAGGATGGATGGATGATGGATGGATGGAGGGATGGATGATGGATGGAGGGATGGATGAATGGATGGATGATGGATGAATGGATGGATGATGGATGGATGATGGATGGATGATGGATGGATGGATGGATGGAGGATGGATGGAGGATGGATGGAGGATGGATGGATGATGGATGGATGGATGATGGATGGATGGAGGATGGATGGAGGATGGATGGATGGATGATGGATGGATGATGGATGGATGGATGATGGATGATGGATGGATGGATGGATGGATGATGGATGGATGGATGATGGATGGATGATGGATGGATGGATGATGGATGGATGGATGGATGGATGATGGATGGATGATGGATGGATGGATGGATGGATGGATGGATGGATGGATGGATGGATGGATGATGGATGTATGGATGGAGGATGATGGATGGATGGATGATGGATGGAGGATGGATGGATGGATGATGGATGGATGGATGGATGATGGATGGATGGATGGACAGGAGTGTCCCTGAGCAGGAAGGGACATGCTGGCAGCTGGTGCCCAGTGTGGAGCTGAGCCTGGCTGCTGCCTGGCCCTCCTGTGCCAGCGTGTGCTCTGAGGAGCCTCGGGCAGGCCCTGGCACCTGCCCTGGGCCCTCCCTGCTGCTGTGTCACCCAGTGACACGAAGGTGCCACTTCAAACTGGGGACTGTGACTGCCTCTGCCTCAATGGAAACTGCTGCTATATTTTAAATAGAAACACTAAAATATATTTTACATCTATCTGTCTGTCTGTCTATCTATATAGATATAGATATATACATATATCTAACCTACTTAAAAAAATATATATAACCTATATATATATATATATATAACTTAGGAACTGAGTTACAGTTTTAAAAAGG